GTCTGCATCATCTTAATGGCCTCCACCTTTTCTGTGACTTTGCACCGCTGGCGACGCTTTTTTGGCCTCATGCTCGGCTGGATCGTCTGCAAGACGATACCCAATCGCGGAATGGCCGTGACACGTCACATGGCGACACCCATATCGCTTCCCCACGCATCTTTATACCTTTCACAATAAATTTTATAAAGTCTCGATGATGCAGCTCGGCCGGCCCGTTCAGCCAATCAGATCGCTGGATTAGAGGTCAAATTAACCTCCTTGTATTCCTTCCACCGCTGTACTGTGCCGGTAGCCAAGTACAAAAACGAGCGTACGTGCTTGGTCTGGTTGACAGCTGCGTTGGCAGCAAGCAGAATCGCAACGATAGCGAGGTAGCCCTCTTGGGCTGCCGCAAACAACGGCGTCGCGCCTTGCTACATGCAAGAGCCATCACGACATGCGCTGGCGCGCGAGGCGTACCTTGTTGGTCCAGTGCACGTCGGCGCCTTCGGTCAGCAGGCGCTGAACGTCATCATTGCTGCCAACGAACGCAGCTCTGTACAGCTGAGCGCCCAAGGTCAAGCACTTGCATGCTCGCAGCAATGCGACGGCCTCCTCGCACGAGGAGGCCGTCGCGCAGTCATGCTCGCTCTCTTTGAGCGAGAATGGCATGTGGAACGGTGTTTTATACATGTTTACAACACATCGCGCATGCATCGATAACCAACAGGTTCAACGCGACACAGCGAAGGGAGTCTGTCTATGGCTGTGAGTACCTCGCATTGTGCATCAGTGACATAGAACCCCGCGATAGCTCTTCCCTAACGTTGACTGCTGCGAGCGCTGCTGCCAAAGTGTGCTCGACACAGCGAGGCCGTGGGCGGTCTGTTCCAGCTTGGCGATGTGTTTTAAACCGTAGGTTTAAAACCTTCTGCAATGGGGCCCCGAGAGGCGCCGCGTCCAGCTGTGCGTCCGAGTACAGCAGAATGACACGCTGGAATGAGATGGCTCGTTGACACTCGAGTGCATGGCAAGACTTGTTGCGGATGCTGTGAGCGTCGGCAGCTGCGTCGTCGGGTGACACGGGTTCAAATCCATCCACTCGCCGTTTAAAACTGTATAAAACAGAGGCGTTTCATTTTGATTAAGGTATGCTGGCGGAATGTATGCGCATTGTAATGGTGCAAATTCAAGCCAACTCAAAGTTGCCTTGTTGGTCATGCCAGCGAGCCTAGTACGACGTCATGAGACCCGCGCTGTTGTGTGCCACGCGGCTTCTTGTCTAGGGTTCTCAGCTGTACAATGCTGCGTGCGATGGTCGCACCAACGACGTCCAGCGCCTGCTCAAGGAAGGCGCTGATGTCCACTGGGCCAACGAGGTGCGCTGGCCACGCTCGATGGCAAAATTACTGGTCCGATGGCGTAGAACGGGGTGACGGCGCTCTTTATTGCTGCATACAACGGGCACGACGCCGTCGTCAAGACGCTCCTCGGTGCCAACGCAGCTGTGAATGAAGCTGTCAGCGTATGTTCTCGTATTTTAGCTGTTGAGTCCTCGCGATTGTGACCTGAACCGTTGCCGATGACGTAGAATGGATGGACGCCGCTCTATATTGCTGCGGGCAACGGGCACGACGCCGTCGTCAAGACGCTCCTCGATGCCAACGCAGCTGTGGATCAAGCGGACAGCGTACGTTCTCTGCGGATGTTACGTCCTCTATATCAACCATTCGATGAGGTAGGATGGAGCGACGCCACTCATGATTGCGACGTTATGCGGCCATCTCGAAGCAACTAAACGTCTTCTCGATGCCGGCGCGGACGTGAATCGGAGTCTTCAAGTCAATGACAGTTATGAAGGCCAAAACATCTTGGTACTAGCTCGTATCTCTGCAACGATATTCTTTACTTCGTGCCAGGCGGGTGCAACGCCGCTTCTACTGGCCGTCCAGTTTGGCCACATTGATGTGACTCGGGCTTTGCTGCGTCATCATCCCAACCTCCCAGCCACCGATGCTGTACGAAATGAAGTTCTCCCACCTCTCAGCTTTATCTTGCTAATTAGGACGGCAACACGGCCCTTGCGATGGCCACGCAGCGTGGGCACACGACTATCGTGCGCCTCCTGCAAGAGCACGCCAGCAACACCCCAAGTGTACGCACCATCTATAGCTTTTCTGCGGCTCAATACTGTTCTTTCCATAGGCTCCACCAACGCCACCAGTCCCAGCAACTTCCAAGGCGAAGGAGACGGAGCTCATGCAAGCCGTGGTTGCAGGCAATGTTGCTGTCACCACAGCACTGTTGGATCAAGGCGTTGATTCTCGCGTCACGAATGAGGTTTTGAGATTGAGTTTTGACGTCCAACTCAAACCCAAGCTCGTAGCATGTCGATGGTCTACTTCACCTTGCAGTGCGCCATGGCCACACGCAGCTGCTCCAGATGCTCTTGCGCCGCCCCGACGTGTCATCGGTCGACTGCAATAACGTACGGCAATTCGCCTTGTGTACTAATATGCTTCCTCACGCATGCGTAGGATGGCGAGACGCCACTGGTGTTAGCGATCAAGCTGCGCCACCGCCGGTTCCCACACCAAATTTACAACGTCGTTCACCAAATCGCCGACGATGTACGAGTTGATGACGGCGCCGTCCACTGACACGACGTAGGTGCCCGAGACTGCGATTCAGATCAATGCAAACGCTCTCCTCGGCGACGGCGGCTTTGGCTACGTGCACAAAGGCATGTACAAGAACGAGCTTGTCGCAGTCAAGTCGGCTAAATACGCGGCCGGCGCCAATGACCTTTACGCCGAAATCAATGTCATGCAAACGTCTGATACTTCTCCTTCGTTCTCAATCTCAAAACTCAATTTTGAATTCTAGGTGCAACTCGCCGTACTTGCTGGAGCTCAAGGCGGTCTCGGGCCAGGACAGTGACAACCCCAAGCTCGTGCTCGAGT